GGGTGGGTGGGTGGGTGTGATGTCTCTAATATTGACCGGTGAGGGTGATGTCGGAACTGTAGCAAGTCACAGGCTGAAGGCTGGCCAAGGTATGACACCCATGTAAGTCCTCCTCAGCTCTCCACTGTAGCTGTAGTCCTCCCTCCCTTTCTTTTTTTTTATTTTTTTTTATTTTTAAGGAAATAGCATGCTTTATTATATATGGAGCAAAAGGATTGAGTCCTCAAAGGGGCCTTGCCGTGATGTACATGTTATGGGCCAAGGCCCCCAGCAAGCATCGTGCCCGCCCTAAGTGAAGGCGGGCCAGCAAATCAACGAGAGCCCTCTGTTCAAACATTTCACGAAGTGGGGTCCATACAGTTGCCGCACGCCAGTTGGTTGGAGTGCACCGAGCACCGGATCTCTGCAAAACGCAGAAGGACCAGGGCCCTTCAGAGTTGGTTAGGCCCTGGGCACATAAACGTGAGGCCGACATTGCGTACTGGAAATAGAGGCCGAAAATGCCAATGGGAAACCGGTCCACTATCTGAATCTGGACGCAGGCCTGGATGAAAGAGGCACAACTGTGCTCCATGGGCCCCAACGGCATTGGGCCTGGGTACAGGAACTGGGGCCCAGGCGCAGGCTCAAGGGAGGCCGCCCACACGCAACACTGGCATATAGGCAGGGAGGGCGAGTGGGCAGGGATCTTGGCCATTGCGAGCAAGGCCGGCGCGCTGCTGCATTGCGAGTGTGCTGCGCTGCGCTAGGCTGGGTGAGGGCAGGCTGGCGCTAAGCGGTAGGGCGCAGCCTGGGCGCAGGGCGCTGGCGGCCATAACCGGGCTGCCTGTAGGCGCAGAAGAGGTGAAGGGCGAAGGTGGTTCTTCGGAGGTGAAGGGCACTGTGTGGGATAACAAAGGAGAGTGAGGGTGAAGAGAGAGACGTACCTGGTGGAGAGGAGGTCGGCATTGGTGTTGAAGTCATCACTCGCTGGTCGTCAAGTTGTCTGGTTGCTTCCATGCTGTAGTTGTAGTGATATGCTGTAGAGTAGGTAGGGCGCCTGGCGCCATTCAAGAGAGAGAGCTACATTGGGTTATGTTGTTGGTGTTGCCCGATTGGGCTTGGACATTGACTAACGATTCTTCTGTACCATTCTCAAATGGATGGTTACTCGGTTCCATTGTGCTATCTGCTCTTGCTTTGACTACTTGGACTTCAGTGTGATTTTGCAATTTGGATTTCTGTGCTTCGTCCACATTCATGTTCCTTGCATTTTGGTATCAGAGTTGGTTCGATTCGCCACTTACCTTGGTGCGCTGGCGTTATACAGACTTGGTGCGTTGACGATGCTTCTTCGCAGTTGGTTCTTGTGACGTCAGGCCAACATTAGGCGCACGACCTGGGTAGAGAGGTGTGCGCCGGAAGGCTATACGGCATGGGATGCCGTGGTTACAGCGGAATGTATGATTGGTGATGAGAGCATGCTGATGTGGCATTTAGCTGAGGTGGCACTGCATTGCGTTGTGGGTGGTACCGAGGCTACGACCGGTCATCAAATGCACACTCAGCTCAATTGGTGAGAAATCTGTGGTTGGGGGCCGCTATCTCCAGGTACTTTGTTCACTTACCTTATCTACCCTCTCAATCTCTTCTTACCGCGAGGAAGTGAGTCCAACTTGAGAGTCCTCTCTTTTGGTGAGGTGTCGTGTGCGTGCTACCTTGAGAGACGACAATCTTCCCGGAAGCATCTGGATGGAGAAAGGGCGGTGCCTCTGAAGGGCCCTGGTCAAAGCACTTGGGTCACGGTCACCATGCCAACCCAATGGGAGTAGGTCACGCATTCGATGGCTGCTTGTCCATTTTGGCACTTTGCTGCGCTATAGAAGTCCTTTCGGGGGTGCCAGCCCATAAGAGACGCTTACCAGACCGTCTATAAATATTTTTGGCTGGGGACTCGGTGTTGATACTGGCTGTGATCGTCATCCTGTCTGCAACGTTAAATAATTCCTGAGGAGATGGGGGCTCTCCTTAAATCCCTCCTGATCAGCCAGATCAAACCGGGTTGTAAGGCTCGTTCCGTACGAGGGTAAATAAGAGTGGATGGGCTGGCTTCTTCGGCAATGACTTAGGGCACAGGGGTGGGCCGACATTACACACGAAGACACTGTTGCTCAAAGATGCTCATCGGTATGTTGGATTGAGGGGAGGGTAGGTTCTAATTGGTGCTCAACTGTAAACAAAACCATACCCACTGTTCATACATCTGCAACATATTTTAGTTTTATTATTGATTAGTTGGTTGACAGACTGCTAACACCTCACAGATAGTTTAGTTTAAGACTGTTGTATGCTACCATAGCCAGTTCTATGCAAAGCTTCTGTAAGTGAACTAATCATGATAGAATTAAACTATGTTGACAGTCTATTGTGAATGTTGTAGGCTGCCACTTGATCGGACAAGTAGGGGACCTCCCGGACACATTTATTTTTAGAAAATTAGGTGTCGGTCAGACACATGCTGTGGTAGGACTCCAACAGGGAGTTGTAGTGCAGATAGTGTTTGCCTAACTGATAAGTGGGTCAGACACCGATGACAGTAGAGTTGACGATCAGAAGCTGACACGTTCGAGATCACTTAGGGTCCCGCGCGTGTTTCAGGCCCTACAACCGGGAGACGAAGGACGGCTTCGTGCCGAACGCAGAGCCCGTGCTCTCGCAGCAGCCAGGGAGGCAGCAAATGCCGCAGCTAGGGAACAGGCTACAGCAGCAGCCAGAGCAACAGCAATGGCTACCCCAGCAGCATCCTCTGCTGCATCCTCGTCTGGGACTCAGTTGGGAATGCCTTATGGGCCCACGGGTACTTCCGGGTCTGTAGGTTCTAGTCAGTCCACAAGTCAAATGGCGGGCTCGCAATTCAGTCCGTTGACCCCATGCGGCAGGGAGCTCCTAGAGCTCCAACAAGTCGAAAGGATCCGCGCTCGGTTAGCGAGGGAATTGAAGCAAGCTACCGACAGAGAAAAGGAGATCAAAAATAGAACATCCAGGCTTGATACGTTAGAGGCAGACAAAGCTGCATTAGAGGGTTTGGATGAGTCAGCCATGTCTGACCAAATGAAAGTATTGAAGAATAGTGTACTGTCGCTGCATGCACATGTGGACAGCAGACTGGACTTCATGCATAACTCTTTGGACCAGATCTTGGACCTTTTACAAAGGCCAGGATTTAGGCCAGCAGCACAGTCGCCGTTGCCGTTAACGACGATGTCAGGCCCCTTTCCGGTACAAGCTGGCACACAACCAAGTGGTACGTCTGCAGCAGCCGCACAGACTGTTGCTTCTTCTTCTTCTGAGTCAGCGGTGATAGCTACACCATCGTCGCAACAATCTGTTCCTTAACAGGGACAGCAACAAGGTCAATGGTACCCAAAGACCCCTATGAAACCGCCCCTTGCCTTCTCCGGAGGGAAGAAGGATGAGGAACTCAACACATGGTTGAGAACGGTTCCAGTGTGGGTAAGGGCAAAGAGGACTATGCAGGAGGAGGAGGTGATTACTGCTGCATCTTACCTGGAGGGTAAGGCAGCCAAATGGCTGGATGAATTAGTAGCAAAAGCCGGGTATGGACGACGCATGGCGGACTGGGCTAAGACCCTAACGTTAGAAGAGTTCTTAGACATGGTAGAAGCTCGCTGGCATAATCCACAGCAGGCACAAATCGCCACTGATGCGATGCTCAGACTTGACCAATGAAAGTTCAAGTTAGTCAGAGAGCTAACGACTACCGTAGGGAGCCTCATCGTCGTTCCCGGCATACGCTACGATGACCAGGTCTTATTGACCATGTTTGTGAGATGTCTCCCAGAGAATCTCATAAATTTGCTGGCCAGCGAGGCTCGCCTCGAGTATCATTCGTTTGAGACCTTATCTAGAAAGGCCTTAGACTTACAGGCTACTCTAGGAAGTGCTCAGCCTACTCCGGTAGACGCGAGGAAGAAGAAGAGTCCACAGGAGTGGAAGAAGAAGGGGAGTAGATTGATGATGGTTGAGTCTGATGGGACCCAAACTGAGATCTAGGAGCTTTCAGACCTGTTGGACAGCACAGAGTACGACGGCGAGGAAACCGCTGAGGGTAGCACCCTCGCCGCAGTAGTTAAGACTAAGGTAGGTGGCCGAGGGAAGGGCCATCAAAAGAGTCAAGGGCAAGCCGCCTCCAACCAGACCAAAGTTGCTGATTGGGTCAAGGCAGGTCTTAATCAAGAAGTGTGGCGGGACCGTAGAGTGCGTGGTGCTTGCATCAACTGTGGTGAATACGGACACACCCAGTACAACAGCAATAATGCAAAGGTCACGCAGAAGATACCTCCTAAGGTAGAGGTACCTTCTTCCCAGGCGTCTAGCTCGGGAAACATGTGAGGCCGGTGAAAGTTTTAGCTGCTTCTACTCATGGTGAAGTGGACCAGATACCCTCCCCACTTCATGAGCAGACCATAGCTAATGACTCTTTAGTAACCCTGCAAACTAATCCAGACCAAACTATACTTTGTACGTTGGATGTGTCTGATACCTTAGAAGATTTAGAACGTGAGTGGTCAAGCAAGGACCCTCGCGAATCTTGGGTGGCACTAAGAAGAGGTCCTAGAGGGGAACATTTCATTGTGGAAGTTGTTGTAGGAGACCGCAAATGTGGTGCCTTCATAGACATCGGCTCCACACGGAATTACATAAGTCGCGACTGCTTGGAAAGGCTGCACCTACAGGACCGGGTACAACACCTTAGTAGACCAGTAGCATCTACTTTGGCCAATAAGGAGTGCATGGTTGTCACAGACTATATCAAGGATGTAGTTTGTACCTTCTCCTATGGAGGAGGGGAACTTGATCATAAGATTTCGTTCCTGGTTAGCGACGACTTACCATTTGACATGTTGTTAGGAATGTACTACCTTGAGGTTGCCAAGTCCCAATTTGACTGGGACAAGAACGTGCTAAAGCATAAGCTGCCTGATGGAAGAATAGTGAGACTGACTAAGTTCAAAGCCAGTAGTATAATCGATACCTATGGCTGCTTGTGTGCATCAGCGTTCTATAACTATTATAAACAAAACCAAGATGAGGGTATGCACCTAGTGTATGTCTCTGAGAAAGGGGAGGCCGTTAAAACACCCCCAGAGATAGAACACGTCGTTGCTAAGTTCCCTGATCTGTTTGAGGAGCCTACAAGAGTCGTAGAGAGGTCAGTTGTCCATGCCATAGAAATCATTCCAGGGAGTAAAACCCCAAAGGGAAGGATCTATAGGATGGCTTCGACCGAGTTGGATGAACTTCGGCGACAACTGAAAGAGCTAACAGAAAAGGGATGGATCCGGCCGAGTACTTCCCCTTCGGATCTCCAGTGCTATTTGTATCGAAGAAGGGGGGTACATTGAGGATGTGCATTGATTACAGAGGCCTCAATGCCATCACAGTGAAAAATGCAGAGCCTCTACCTCGCATAGACGACCTATTGGATAGGGTGCAGGGATGCAAGTACTATAGCAAGATAGACTTAAAATCCGGCTACCATCAGATCGCAATAAGACCTGAGGATCAACACAAGACTGCTTTTCAGACCAGATACGGTCTGTATGAGTTTGTAGTGATGCCTTTAGGCCTTTGCAATGCTCCGAGTACATTCCAGCATGCCATGAATAGGATCATCCATGACCACTTACATAAGTTTGTCGTCGTCTACCTTGACGATATTCTTATCTTTAGTAAGTCTGTCGAGGAGCATGCACAGCACGTTGAGACTGTACTTGCACTCCTGCGACAACACAAGTATAAGGTCAACCTAGAGAAATGTGAGTTTGGACGCACTAAGATCTTATACTTGGGTCACAAAGTATCCGCGGAAAGTATTAGGCCGGAAGATGCGAAGGTGGCTAGTATCAGGGACTGGCCACGACCTCAGACGGTTACTGAGGTCAGATCTTTCTTAGGAATGTGCGGCTACTATAGAAACTTTGTAAAGAACTATTCTACAGTCGCCTCTCCTTTGACTGATCTAACTCGACTTGACACGTCGTGGGACTGGAGTGATGAGTGTGAGGCTGCTTTCAAACGATTGAAGCATGTACTCATGAATCATGAGGTTTTCATGGTGCTCGATCCTCAGAAGCCTTTCATAGTAACCACTGACGCAAGCCAATACGACATTGGCGCAGTGCTGGCTCAGCAGGATGGGAAGAAGTTGAGACCGATTGAGTATATGAGCAAAAAGATGCCATCTAAGAAACTGGCAAAGTCCACCTATGAAAGGGAACTCTATGCTCTCTACAAAGCACTTGTCCATTGGAGGCACTTTCTGCTGGGACGGTTTTTCTATTTGAGAACTGGCCATCAGACCCTTAAATGGATCAAGACTCAACTAGCTCTTTCTGATGCACTCAAGCACTGGATTGAGGTCATAGATCAGTATGACTTCAAGCTAGAGTATCTGAAGGGAGAGTACAACAAGGTTGCAGATGCGCTATCACGTAGGGCAGACTACCTAGGGGCGCTAGTTTCTGAGTTTGGTGTATCTGAAGAACTAACTCAATCGCTGGTGGGAGCCTATCAGGAAGACCCTGTCGCGATGGACATCATACGCAAACTTCAGGCAAAAGAAAAGGCCACAGAAGATGAGTTTGTGATGGTGGACGGGCTTCTCTTTCTTGATAAGGCCGGATTTAAAAGGTTAGTTGTTCCATCTAGTGAACGTTTGCGTAGTTTATTCTTAGGAGAATGTCATGATGCAACCGGACACTTAGGCTACAAAAAGACGAGTGCCAATCTAGTACAACGATTTTGGTGGCCCGGAATGCTAGAAGATGCAAAGAAGTATGTGGAGACCAGTCAGGTCTGTCAGCAGGACAAATCACGAACTCAAGCACCGCTTGGGTTGTTGAAGCCCTTACCTATCCCCGCTGTTCCGGGACAGAGTGTTTCCATGGACTTCATGGACACCCTGGTGACCAGTAGGAATGGCAAGAGGCACATCTTTGTCATCATAGACCGATTCACCAAGTACGCTATACTAATTGCCATGACAGAGACCGCAAGGACTGAACACGTCATCAAGTTGTTTTTGGACAGGGTGCGTGATTTTGGACTACCAAAGTCAATCGTTAGTGACAGACATGTCCGCTTCACAAGTGAGTTGTGGAAGAAGACTGTTGAACAGATGGGCAGTCAACTTCAGATGACTTCAGGGAATCATCCCGAAGCCAACGGACAGGCCGAGCAGATGAACAGAGTTGTACAACACCTGCTGGGGCATTACATCAAGCCCAGCCAGGATGACTGGGATGAGAAGTTGCCTCTCATCGCCAGCTTGTACAACAACGTTGTACACAATAGTACCGGCGTTAGTCCTAACCAGCTGCACTTGGGATGGAAGCCTAGATCAGCTCTAGACTTCCTCCTACCTGAAAACCGATCCTCTGCAACTCCGGGCACACTTGAGTATGGTGTGCAGTATGAGAAGTTGCTACAACAAGCTGTCGAGCACATCAGGAAAGCTCAACAAGCAATGATTGCTTCTGAGAACAAACATCGTCGACAGTCCTCATTTCAGGTAGGGGAACGTGTCTGGGTCAAGGCTAGTGAGTTAGGACAGGAATTCAGTATCTCTCGAAAACTAATGCCTCAGTATTTTGGTCCCTGGGAAGTTCTGGACATCGTTGGGGATGAGATGGATGGTCCTACATATGTTATCCGTATCCCTGGTCATCTGCACACTCACCCTGTCTTTCATGCCTCAAAGCTTGCACCTTTCGCTGAGACAGATCAATTCCCTTCAAGAAGATCGATGCTGCCCCCAACCATGGATGGCCAAGTGGACATCAACGACTTTGTGGGTCACAGAGACTTGCCTGTTCCAAAGCCGTTGGGTCGAGGAAGACCTCTCAAACCTAAGAGAGAATATCGCGTAAGATTCAGGCATCATATGGATCCAAAAGAAGATCGGTGGTTCACCAGAGAGGAACTGATTGCCACCGCTCCTCAAGTGGTGGCAGAATATGAGAGAATGTTAAAAGGGAAGGCACCTGCGAAGTAAGCATCTCAGCGGACTTTCGAAGCTAAGGGGGATGAATGTGAGGATTGAGCCCTCAAAGGGGCCTTGCCGTGATGTACATGTTATGGGCCAAGGCCCCCAGCAAGCATCGTGCCCGCCCTAAGTGAAGGCGGGCCAGCAAATCAACGAGAGCCCTCTGTTCAAACATTTCACGAAGTGGGGTCCATACAGTTGCCGCACGCCAGTTGGTTGGAGTGCATCGAGCACCGGATCTCTGCAAAACGCAGAAGGATCAGGGCCCTTCAGAGTTGGTTAGGCCCTGGGCACATAAACGTGAGGCCGACATTGCGTACTGGAAATAGAGGCCGAAAATGCCAGTGGGAAACCGGTCCACTATCTGAATCTGGACGCAGGCCTGGATGAAAGAGGCACAACTGTGCTGCATGGGCCCCAACCTCATTGGGCCCGGGTACAGGAACTGGGGCCCAGGCGCAGGCTCAAGGGAGGCCACCCACACGCAACACTGGCATACAGGCAGGGAGGGCGAGTGGGCAGGGATCTTGGCCATTGCGAGCAAGGCCGGCACGCTGCTGCATTGCGAGTGTGCTGTGCTGCGCTAGGCTGGGTGAGGGCAGGCTGGCGCTAAGCGGTAGGGCGCAGCCTGGGCGCAGGGCGCTGGCGGCCATAGCCGGGCTGCCTGTAGGCGCAGAGGAGGTGAAGGGCGAAGGTGGTTCTTCGGAGGTGAAGGGCGCTGTGTGGGATAACAAGGGAGAGTGAGGGTGAAGAGAGAGACGTACCTGGTGGAGAGGAGGTCGGCATTGGTGTTGACGTCATCACTCGCTGGTCGTCAAGTTGTCTGGTTGCTTCCATGCTGTAGTTGTAGTGATAGGCTGTAGAGTAGGTAGGGCGCCTGGCGCCATTCAAGAGAGAGAGCTACATTGGGTTATGCTGTTGGTGTTGCCCGATTGGGCTTGGRCATTGACTCACGATTCTTCTGTATCATTCTCAAATGGATGGTTACTCGGTTCCATTGTGCTATCTGCTCTTGCTTTGACTACTTGGACTTCAGTGTGATTTTGCAATTTGGATTTCTGTGCTTCGTCCACATTCATGTTCCTTGCAATATATATATATATATATATGTGTGTGTGTGTGTGTGTGGTTCGGTGGGTGGGTGGGTGGGTGTGATGTCTCTAATATTGACCGGTGAGGGTGATGTCGGAACTGTAGCATGTCACAGGCTGAAGGCTGGCCAAGGTATGACACCCATGTAAGTCCTCCTCAGCTCTCCACTGTAGCTGTAGTCCNTTTTTTTTTTTTTTTTTAAGGAAATAGCATGCTTTATTATATACGGAGCAAAAGGAGGCCGGGAATCCCTCCACATCTCAACCCGGAAGCCTGGGGCCATTACCCAGATTTGGCTCTTACTGGCAACAGGGTCCAGTGCCCCTTTCTCGTAAGAAACTTCATGCTATTCCTGAACAAAAACTAAACTGGATTAACAAAATGACAAAATAGCAAAAAACGAGGGAACCTGCCTACTATCTTTCCGCCTATCCTCATCTTAAGCCCTGAAACCGACCGCTTGCTGCTCGTCTTTCCCCCTACCTCCGACACCTCCACCTCTCCGTCCGCTCTCCTTAAACCCTAAACCCTACTGTCCTTGGCGACGTTGAGACCGAGCCCCTATTTACATAAACCCTAGTTGCCTAAGTCCACTAAGCTGAAAATATGCCCGCTAAGCTGTTTTCCTCTTTCGTAAAACCTAGGTTATCCTGTCAGTATTTTCTTTTTCAACCCGGGATGTACTGGGGCCGTTACCCAGGTGGGCTTATGCTGGAATCCGGGTCCAGCGTCTCATTCACTGCAACAGGCCAACACAAACTGGACAACATAAGACCAAAACAAAAATGAAAGGAACGAGTAATAGCTCTGTTCAACCCTATAGATCCATAATACCCCCTATCGCTTCCTTCAGCCTCTAAATCTCCTGCCCTTCCATCCCAATTGTTTCTTCCTATTACGCCCTTGGCCCTTGAAGGCCTAAGGCTTGCTCACCTATCACTTTTAAACTTAAACTTCTACATCCTAAACTCCGTTAAATATGCTTCTACCTCCCAGAATGCCTTAAATAGGATTTCCTTTCACCTACCTAAAACTCCGTTAAATATGCTTCCACCTCCCAGAATGCCTTAAATAGGATTTCCTTTCGCCTACCTAAACTTAACCTGCTTAAATTAGTGAAGAGAAGCAAAATAGTGGTCGCTTCCCCTCCACTTAAACTGTAGTCCGTTGCCTCGCAGAGCTGCCACCTTTCCCTGGCCCAACACCCTTTGTGTGAATCGGGCCTTCAGCTGCTGCTCTAGATCCGGGCATTGGTAAATCTGTCTCTGTACTCGTTTCCATTGTGCCCAGAGATCTGTTTCTAGTAAATTGTAAGGAACCCTGCATGCTTCTTCCTGGTGCATTGGGCTCTTCTCAATAGCAATCTGACAACGTCTCTTCCATATTGTCCATAGGGTATACTGCCTTATTCGCTGGAATATGGTCTTCTCGTACGGCTGCCAGCTCCTTGGCAAGTCATGACCTAGCAGTATGGTTGCTTTGCTCTCAGGGAATGGTGACGCCGTGATTTGTCCCCAAAGGGTCTTGGCTTTCCCCCATAGGGCCGCTGCCTCGGTGCATATTAAAAGACAGTGGAGCATTGTTTCTGGGTCTCTCTCTTGACAGATTACACACTGTGCGTTGGCTGGATCCCTCTGTGCTTGGCTCCTGCGATCGTTTAACCAGTCGTTTACTGGCAGTGCCACGTGGGCGATTAGCCACTGCAGGCTTCTGACCCTTCCGATGCGTATCACGTTGATCTGTAGCCACGGCATTTTGGGTAGCTGCTCCGGTGTGACTCCCACTTTGTTTTCCCATCGCTTGGACAGTGCCAGCGCTAATGGGTGTGACCTTCTTCTCAATCTGTAGCCAATTCTCGTTGTATAGTTTAGAAGGTTGATTGTTCTGATCACCCCAGTTCTTCCTCCTCTAAGATTCCATGCCCATTCTGCGGGGTCCACCTCCAAATCTACCAATGGCGTGGTTGGACTGTAGATCGTGAAATCGTCAGACTCTCCCACCCTTACCTTGCGCAGGTGTTGCAGTTGGATTGTGATCAGAGTTTTAGTTGCCTGGTCCAGCTGGCTAGTGGTATTCCCAGGCGCTTGATCCCGTACATATCTCAACCGCCCATTCCTTCCTTTCCGGTTCCTGATTCCAGATTCTGAATGCAGCCTGTGGTTCCTCCTCCTGCTTCCATGTGGCCCAGTCCCCTAGTCCCCACTGGGACTCCTTTCGGAGCAGTCTTGTCCATTCCTGCAGTATGGCCTGAACCAAGTCGTTAAGATGTTCTTCTAGTTTGTGGCTTCCTTTCAGCTGAGTTCTGAGCTCACTGCTTGTCTTCCATCGTCTGTTGTTGTCCTCCCAGAGGTGCTTGATTTGCCACACCGCATGCTCCACCCATTTGCCCCATTTGCCCCATTTGGTGTCCTTTAGTGTAAGGGTAAATGGTTTCCCCTGGGTGTTCTTGATTCCTGGGTTGCAGAATAAGGGCTGGCGCAGAACCTCTTCTCTTGTGCGAGGCTCCCTGATTCTTGCCGGGAAGATGTCCTTCCAAAGCTTGACCATTTGGCTCCAATAGGATGTTTCCCTTGTGCCCTTCTCTGTGCCTACCTTGGCCCAGCTGCTGCACATTACCCATAATAGACCGGTCATATTGGCCGGGATTTCATATTTAGCCAGGTGCCTGATGCGATCCAGGGCCAACGAGACCCAGGGTAGCTTTGGATGGGTGATCAACTTGATCACCCACTTGGTCTGTAGGGCCTTGAGTTGTTGATCCGGGTCCAGGATGCCCAAGCCTCCCTGTTCCTTCGCTCGGGTGACGTGTTTCCACGCCACTTTAGAGATGAAGTGGGGTTTGGTTGGATTTGTGGTCCAGAGGTAGGCCGCCGCGCGTCTGCGCAAAGCCGAGGTTGTCTGGCTGGGGGAGACCATATTGTCCCGACGTAGCACAACATCGAGAAGATGGACGTGTACGAAGGCCCTTCCAAAAACTGATGTATATATTGCTGACCAGGCCGACAGTTTGGCCAGTATCTTGGTCATTAATTCGGCCGCCATGGACTGATGAGGACCTATCTCTATGATCCTGATTCCTAGGTACCTCAGCGATGTTCGCGCTGTCACCCATTGTAGCCCCTGCGGGTTGATAGTGGGGTCTGGTCCTACCCCTTTTTGGTCTGTTAGCCACCATCCCACTGTCTTTGGCCAATTTATTTTCATTTCCGATGCCAACTGAAAGGCCTCCATTGTCCGCGTGAGTGTTTGGAAAGAAGAATCCATGGCTCTAATCAGCATTGTGAGATCATCTACGAAAAGTATAGTTGTCGGCAAGTAAGCTAACCGGCCCTGCTGGTCTTGTGCCGCGACTAAGTGTTCTATTGATGGATCTTTACGGAGGAAGGAGGCTATGGATTCCATAATGAAGAGGAAGATTGGCGCTGCTACAGATCGCCCTGCCTAACCGACCTCGACATCTTATATTTTGTTGAAAGACAGCCGTTAACTTGCACCTGCCCGTGCGCGTCATTATACAGGACTTTGATCCATTTTCGAAAATTCGGGCCTACCCCCATCCTTTCCATGCACTGCTGTAGAAAGCTCCGGTTCACTTGATCGTAAGCCTTTTCAAAGTCGAAAAAAATAATTGTCACGTTGATCCTTTTGTCCCTGATATAGCGTACCGATTCCGTCAACGTCATGACGTTGTCGAGGATGAAGCGCCCAGGAATAAACCCTGTTTGATCTAGATGGAAGCACCCCTCCGTGACCACTCGAAGTCTGTTTGCCAGGGCCTTGGCCACAATCTTGTGTGTCAGTGTGAGAAGAGTTATTGGCCTGTAGTTTCGGATGTCCGCCGAGTTTCCTTTATTATATAGGAGCGTGACAATTATTGTGGCCGGGTCTTGTCCTAGCCCCTCCCTTTGTCATGCTTGCTCTAGGAAGGTTTCATACTCATTGCCCGGGATTGGCCAGAATTCCAGCCAGAACTCCCTAGTCAAACCATCTCTTTCGGGGGTCTTATTAGGCACCATGGACTTAAGAGCCTCCAGGAGCTCCTCCTGGGACAGGGGGGCCTCAAGCTTTGCAGCTT